AACCTCCGTGGGAGAATCTTCACGCGTCTTGAGTTTTCGTCACATGGGGGGTCCGCGGAATGGGGCGCGCGGGGGGGGGGTCGTCCAGGTGTAAGATTCCGTCGTGGGAACCGCGGGGTGAGGGGAACGCTCACCGATCATCATTTGAAACATTTCCTCAGCGCACCGATCACCGACACGTAGTAGCAGGACGCAGAAACCACGCAACGTGAGCAACAGCACCAACAACAGCGATCACAACAAACAACAACAGCAATCACCCAACAAGAGCAACAACATTAACATGACTAACAGCAGCAGCAGCAGCAGCAGCAACAACAACAACAACTACAGCGACAGCAAAACCACGAACGACAACGACAGCAACAGCAAGGGACGGGACACGGCTCTCACCTCTGCCTCTGACAAGCCTTCCAGGAATATACCCTTGTCGGCGGCCTCCCTAACGTTGAGAGGCACTCTGTCCTCATCCGGCACAGTCAGGTCGTAAACCTTCGGCATCCACGCATCGCGATACAGCAGTACGCCGGTATGCATATTCAAAGGGAAACAAGTGCGCACCGCATGCGTCCATTTCATCGCGCGTTCTTTGCCATCACGTGTACAGCGGAAAGCGGATAAATGGTACGCTGCGACGCACATCAAAAGGGGACAGAAGCTTGTGTGCACTGCACGCGGCCATCTGTACATGTATCGCGAAATCTTCTCCTCTTGTCAAGTCAAAAGCAGAGCATACACAATAAATATATTTATATTTCAAAGGACAGAAGCTCATGTGTACTGCATGCCAGCGTGGCCTTAGCAATCAACGGGGTGAGGCCTACCAAATAGACGAACTGAAACCAAGTGCGAGGGTTTTCTGAGCGCATTCTTGCTTTCCTTGTGACTTTTAGAAGTGTGTACTTGTACCAAAATAAACGAACTGCAACCAAGTGCTAGGGAGTTTCTTAGTGAATTATTGCTTTCCGTATGACTTCTAGACGCGTGTACTGTACCCTTTTGGGGGTAGACGGCCTGCGACCACGGAAAAAGGCACGCGCGTCAGTGGAGCCGGCGGTACGGATGAAAAAAGGTATACCAGTACTGGGCAGAGACCAGAACGGTTTAAGCCAAGACAACAGTAACAACAACAGCAGCAGCAGCAGCAGCAGCAGCAACAGCAACAGCAACAAAAACAACACAAACAGCAACAACAACAACTGCTGTTGTACCTGTTCGTTGTAGATCTCGTAGAAGGAGCACCGACAGACGTGGATCTCCGAAGGCGCGGGAGGACTCGATCCCTCACCGCCCGGCTGAAAAAAAAACAAAAAAACATCAGAATATCACAAGAAAAATGCGAGAGAGACGGGGGGAGAAACGGCATATGAGAAGAAAACAAACAAAAAATATACAAAAAAGAGCCTGTTACAAACAGGGGAGCTATCGCTCCATACTGCTCGGGAAGTCGTGGAAACACAGGCAGCCTCCGCTGACGCTACGGATCAATTGCTAATCCATTAAGACTCGTTCTAGTGATGGAGATGGATTCGTAATGCTACACGAAAAAAAAAAAAAAATGGAATTGACAAGAGGTAGGCGACTTGAACTCTCGTCCTTGCTCGTTGGAGTATAGCCGCGGAAAACAAAAACGCAACCATCATGAGTGGTACAAAAAAAAGAACGAGGGTAGTGGGGGAGAAACGGCACAAAAAAGCAACACGGTTTTGTGCATCGACAGCAGTAAGAGGCGGAAATGGAACGCAACCATCGTGAGTACACACAATCCCCTTCTCGCGAGAACAAAATTCAAGTCGAGCATGGCGGGTGGGAAAGATGGCGAACCCTTCCTATGCGATCCCGCCTGAATTGCACAAAGATAACACACCCCCTGGACCGATTTTTAGAGCTCGACTAGACGGCTTCAACGCCGCCGTTTGCGGCGCTGTGACGGTTTCTGCTGCTGAGAAATCGAGCAGTGAAAATCGGTCCAGGGTGTGTGTTATCTTGTGTCGTATACGGTATGTCTCTAACGGGGAAATCTGTCTTTGTGTAAGACTCTACACAGATATTAACACTGTTATTGTTGGTTCGCTGAGGTTCGCTGGGCTCTTTCGAAGCCTGTCTTGGTTGTATGTGGAAGACTGAACACAGCTTTGTGAGATATGTTTGTTTCGTTCAGTTTGGCTGGACTCTTCGACCCAAAAAACACATCAGCTGTGTGTGAGCTGTTCCGAGCTTGGGAGAAACGTCACCGATGCCAGCTGGCAGCTTTACTTTCATCTTGCATCACGCCTTGCATTCTATTAACTCCGGACGCGCGCCTTGTACTTTCCAACATATAAAAACCTATGCTAACGGCAAGTACACCATCCACATCACCTGCTGCGAGGAGGGAGGCCCCGCGTCCGAAGCCGAAAACTGATCGAAAAGGTACTCCAGCACCCTGGGAACCAAACCCCGGTTTTCCCCCGTCGCCAGAGCGCGCGCCCCTTCCGCCTCCGCCACCACCCGCTGCTGCTGCTGCTGCTTCTTTTTCCTCTTCGCCGTCTTGCCCTCGGGGGACGGCCCATCCCCTTCCCCTCCCGGGGACGCTCCGTTTATTTCCCCTCCCGTCGACGCTCCGTTTCTTTCCCCTCCCGGCGACGCTCCGTTTCTTTCCCCTCCCGGGGAAGCTCCGTTTCTATCCCCTCCCGGGGACGTCCTACTACTACTCCTGTCGATCTCCTCCCCCACCGGGGATATAGACTCGGATGATTCGCGTAGCCCCCTCTCGCCGGGGCTTCCGCTTCTGCTTCTGCTGCTACCGTCGCCGCCGCCGCCGTCGACGCCATTGACGACGTCGTCGGGGGGACCGAAGGTCGTGAAGGTTTTTCCGGAGCCCGTCTGCCCGTAGCAGAAGATGGTGCCGTTGAAACCCTCCAGGCAGGCGTTGGTGACAGGCCGGCCGATCTGTGGGGATGGACAGACAAGACAGACAGACAGACAGACAGAGAGGCAGACAGTCAGTCAGGCAGACAGACAGACAGACAGACAGAGAGGTAGACAGTCAGGCAGACAGACAGACAGACAGACAGACAGACAGACAGACACAACAAAACCACGAACGACAAGCAAAGAGCAGAGAACACAAAAGAGAACACAAAAGGGCGTTACGGCAGGCAGGTGTTTGCCACGGTCGGCCGATCTGTGTCAACGGGACAGAGATGACAATTAACGTGAGAACAACAACAAATGAGTTCTGTCCGGTCGTTGTGGAGCTGTTAAGATATCAACGCGAGAGAGACGGATGTTGATGTTACCCAACGCCCTCCTATGCATATGTCCGTCGCACAGGCCCGACTTCCACCACATAGAAACGTTTTATTTTATTTTTGTCTTCACTTCAAATCAGCGCCCACAGTGCTTACTTCTTATGATGTTTACTCCCACCCGTGGCACCCTAGCCACCCCTCCTGCGGTGATTTTGCCTTTCGATTCTTAATGCCAGAAGAGTGCAGCACTCTCTTCCCTCTGTGGACACACGAACTCGCGCTTTCCACCCGAAACAATGCTGGAAGAAAATGAAATCAAGTGTACAATGAACACCCTCTTTCCGGTTAAAAACACGACAATATTCTTGCAGAACCATATGGTGACCCGTCATTTCAAAACTATCGGGGGGATGAAGCCATAAAATTACGCTTCCCCGCGTAGAAAACAATGGTACAAGAAGAAGAAAAAAAAACACGAAGGACACCTTCTCGAACAGCTCCTCCTGGCCCACCCCTTCCCCCGCGGCGTAGTCGAACGTGAAGTGCTTCGCTCCGACGCCGTCAGCCCTCTCCCCGGCCCACGCAACCGTCCTCTCGTCCGGACCAACCGACGCGCACGCCGGCGAAGCCGAGTAGCTCGAGGAAGAACGAGAACAGGAAGACGGGGACGAAGGAGAGGGCGAGGATGCCGGTCCGAGGCCTCGCCCCCCCTCGTTGCCGCCGCCGCCGCCGCCGCCGTCTCCGCCTGATGGCCGTCGCTGCCGGGGTTTTACGCGGCAAGCCACCGTGATCCTGCCTTCGTGGTCGGCGGCCACCGTGGTTCCGGTTCCGGTTCCGGTTCCGGTTCCGGTTCCGGTTCCGGTTCCGGTTCCGGTTCCGGTTCCGATTCCGCCGCCGTTGCTGCCGTACGGCGGCGGAGCGTAAGGCCTGCTGCTGCTGCTGCTGCTGCCGAGGCCGCCGAACGACCGCGGGGTGCTCATGATCCCCGACCTCGGGGTAGTGATGGTGGTCGACGACGAGATGGACGAGGTTGGCGACCAGGCGGAGCGATACGCCACCCCCCCCGCCCCCGCCCCTGCCCCTGCTGCCGCGGCGGTGGAGCCGCCGTCGAACGAGGGCGAGCGCGCCGTCGTGGGGGGATTTGCCGTGATGGTGGGGGTCGACTCGATGTCGCGGACCCGATAGAGGGGAGACGGGGATGGTGTCGCGGGGGTAGTGTATGCTCCTGCTGCTGCCGCCGCCCTCTGAGTCGCTACCGCTGCCGACTGAGTCGATGGTCGTGGCATCGATGTCGTTGTTGCGGTTGGCGTTGATGTTGGCGTTGCCGTTGGGGTTTCCGCCGCCGTCGATCCGATCGAGGTCGCCCTGGAGCGCGACGGCTTTCCCCTGGGGGAGTAGAAGGACGAGGGCCGGCGGAGACCGGAAGACGTCCCTCCAACAGCAGTACCGCTACCGCTGCTGGCGCCGTCATTGCCACGGCCGCCGCCGTGGCCACCGCCGCCGCCGCCGCCGTTGGGGGAATAAAACGACGAAGGCTTACGCAGACCAGACGTGCCAACAGAGGCGGCAGTGCCGTTACTACTGCTGTAAGCGGTGTCGCCGCCGCCGCCGTCGACGCCGTTGGGGGAATAAAACGACGAAGGCTTACGCAGACCAGACGTGCCAACAGAGGCGGCAGTGCCATTACTACCGTTAGCGGTATCGCCGCCGCCGCCGCCGCCGCTCGGAGAATAAAACGACGAGGGCCGGCGGAGGCCAGACGTACCAACAGAGCCGCCGCTAGCGGTGTCACCGGCGCCGAGGCTGCTCCTACTCTTGCAGCCGTTCGCCGCGGCCTTGATACGGCTACCGGGGGCGCCGCTGCTGTGCCTGCGGGCGCCGGAGGTAGGAGTCGCCGGTGGCCTCGTCGGCGACGCCACGCTACCGCCTGCCGCCGCCGCTGCCGCCGCCGCTGCCTCGCCAATTCGGAGGGCGACGGTCGCGTGCGGCGACGGCGGTGGCATCTGCTGCTGCTGCTCCTGCTGCTGGCCCGACACGTCACCACCACCATCATCATCGGCGGCGGCGGCGGCGGCGCCACGGCCAGCGGCGGTGGAGGCGGCGGGGGTCGCAACGCCGGCGCTGCTCCTGCTGACGTCGTCGCCGTCGCAAGACATCTGCGCCGGGGAGCAGCAGGCGGAGTCAAGACGGGCCAGCACCGGCATATTCTTCCCGGAGTGCGGGCCTTGCGACCCCGAATCCGCCGAATCCCCTTCCTCGCCTTCGCCCTCCGCCGTTGACACCCGGGCCGCCGCCGTCGCCGTCGCCGCGTCGCCGTTTCCGCGCCTGACCACGCTCCCGCCGTGAAGCCCTCCCGCCGCCTCTGGGCTGCTGCTGCTGCTGCTGCCGTTGCTGCTGCTCTCGCTGCCGCCGATGCCGTTGTCTGACCCGGCGGCGGCGGCGGCGGTAGTGGTGACGGTGGCGGTAGTGGTGACGGTGGTGGTGGTGACGAAGGAGGGTATTCCATCATCAGCAGCCATTATCGTTGCCGAGCTGCTGGACGTTGGGGAAGGCCCGGGGCACAGGGCGGAGGCGGAAGAGGAAGCGGAGGAGGAGCACAAGGAAGGGGAGGCTTCCGGGTCCGGCATTGGCAGCGGAGAAGGGGACATGGCGGAGAGGTAGCCCTCTGACGACACCGAATACATGCTGCAGGCCGCTGCTGTTGCTCCTGCTGCTGCTGCTGGTGGGTGTGCCGACGGTGCTGCTGAGCTGACGCCACGCCCTTATTGGGCTCCTCCTTCTCTTTCCCCTCCCCCCGTTGTTGCTGATGTTGCTGCTGAGCTGACGTCCCGCCCTTTTTCGTTCGGCGCGCTCCTCCTTCTTCCTCTACCCCCTTCCCCGATCCCGGCGAAATGTGTGTACCTAGCACCCACAGCAGTCGGTGTCGAGAGTAGAGGAAGCCACAGCCCAACTGCTAGCTCTCCCTCTCTCTCTCTCTATCTCGCTCTCTCGATCTGTCTAATCCCTACAAAAAAATCGCGGGCACCCCTTCTGTGTCCACGAGCTGCTGCTAGCAAGCCACAATCTGTCTAGAGAGCAAGCAGATGTAACCGCAGTCTCCCTTGCAAGAACGCGTCTGATGCCAGGGGAGGCAATGTTTCGGTCTTCGTGCGTCGGCCGCCCTCAAGCCGACGCCGCCGCTGCCGCTGCTTCCCGCTCCGCCCACCTGTGGCTGGCTGTTGAAAACTAACATCCACGATGCAGCAGAGAGAGGGAGTTGGGCGGGAACAGCGTGGTGGGCACACATGGAGGGAACGGGGCGGGGGGGGGGGGGGGGGGTACCCTTTTGTTGCTTGCCGTAATCATTTGACCATTGACCACCCCTCCCTTTCAAAACGGAACACCGTTCCTACACCTACTAAAAAAACCCCCAACATTTGGGAGCCCTTTACTTTTC